CGTAACAATATTATTATTTTTTATCTATTTTCAAGCTATTCTAAATACACGTTATAAATACTTTTCATGATAAAGTATATATCTAGATGAAACTTGTATTAAAATTGATTGGACAATCCTACCCCTCCTCACCCTTTCAGCCATGGGAGCATTATAATGTTACGGTCAATCCCACTATTCGCTGGTAAAAGAGGAGCCCAAGAGTTGGCGTTGATGACTAGCTACCTTCCCTTGTCTCTTACTGTTAAATTAGGGACGGCTAGTGCAGATAGCCCTCGTGTAGCTTTGCGCGAAATTCAAAACAAACCAAACCAATTCTACTCCATTCAACATCTCTTAAAGTTTAATTCATATGTGATTTAAATAGCAATTGGTCTTGTCCTACCAAAGACGCAAAATAAATTTTGTTTGTCAACAAATTTAAATTTTCTCAAATAATATTGCACAAGCAGAATAAGAAACAAAAATTTTACAACTAGAAGTGTGATTTATTAAATTAACTGCATTCAATACTCTTACTCCAAATTTAACCAAATAAGATTAGTTAAATCATTAATTTTCAACTCGTGCCGAGACGTGTTTTGACCATCCAACATTAAGGTGGCTAGATTTTCAAAGATAGTGTTACGTCTCTGTGTTCGTTTGTTAATTTACCGTAGAAATTCTTTCCGATAAACTTCAACGATATAATTCCTTTCTTAAATAAAACTAGTTTATTCTTTCTCAACTCAACAATACACTTAATTTCCGCAGTCACTTTAACTTAAACACACGCTATAATTCACAACGAACGAATCACGCGCTTGGCTCAATTGTCCGTCTCTATCTCTGTCTGCAATTCAATTCCATTGTTGCCGTCACTTCTTGGCGGTCTTATATATAAGAATACCGCACATCTAGTAAACACTCGAGCATTCACCAACCTTCGAGAATACCATGACGTGTTACTAGGGTCACGTGACTTTCGGTGTCGTAACAATAGTACCGAATGCTACAGAAATATTCCCGGAAGAAAACCGTCTTCGATTATGCAACGTTCAACTGCAAAGTGTTTTGTAGTGATTTTATAATAGAAAAAAAAGAAGAAAAAAAGAGTAAGATTAAAGTACACGCTTCTTTACGTACTGGCTTTAACAGTACTTAACCAAAAAATCATATTATCTTAATTTTATTTTCTCCATACACAAGTTTTCGATGCAGAATTTAGAAGCGAACCTTAAAATCATTTAAAATTCGTTAAATTAATACTTCAACGCTGAGCTCTCTATCTGTGAACTAACTCAAAGGAGTATTTGAATCTCCATCGTTCTGTTAGCATGCCCAAACTTCACCAACGTATGGAAGTTTCTAGTCTTTTATACGGTAATTTTTAAAT